AGGGCCGCCACAGCGCGGCCCGCGGTCCAGGACAGCTTCAAGACAAGGGGGCCCTGAGGCGGCCCAAGAGGGGCCCACAACAGCCCAAGGTGGCCCCAAGATCGCCCAAAATCGCCCCAAGGGACCCAGGGACACACACACACACACACACACCCACACCCACACCCACACCCACACCCACACCCACACCCACACCCACACCCATACCCATACCCACCCACACACACACACACACACGCGCACACACACAAACACACACACACACACATATACACATATATCTATATATAATGCACGCAAATCCCAAGATCCCCCATGTTTTGCCATATTTCCTTGCGATCCTTTTCCCCCACCACTTCCCATAGTTCCCAATCTTTTCCTGGGGATCGACAATTCAATGTTTCCGTGTGTTTCTCTCCTGATACTATCGCACCGCTGTCAGCGATCGGGGGACCAGTGAAGGATCATTCCCTCGTGCAATCGATAGCGGCGCTCTCCACCCTGCGCAAGCCTCGACCGACATGAGGGGACAACTGCAACCATCGTGCTACCGTAGAGGCGGCCAAGGAAAGAACAAACAAACACCAGACATCCGGAAAGACGCGTCGTTGGCAACCGAGTGGAAAAGAAAAGCGCGTATAAAATTCCAGCCTCAGGCGAATAAGAAAGAGGAAGAAAGGGGAGAGAAAACAGATGACGCAAGCCAGAGGGATGCTCAGAGGCATTACGCTGTTTCGCGCGCTTCAGATGCACATTGCTGCCAGGGCCGCCCACGACGGCGACAAAGAACATAATGTTTTGGGCGCGCCATCGCCTTGACATACACTTTGCCCCACCTACGGATGGCTCCCAAGTGTCGCGATTCTCTCGTACATCTTCCTTTGCCTGTCACAGAGAAAGTCTGACAGACGTGTCTCCTGCGTTTGGCTCAACACGTCCACGTTGCTGACTCCTGACGCGGATGGATGCGGTATTCCAAAGATTTTACGCGAACGTCCGCATCGAAAAGGATATCACCATATTTGGCCTGCTGTAGGTAGCCACAACAAGTAAAACGGGTACCACATGCACAGACTCTACGTACATATAGTATATACACATGTGTAACATTCGGCGCTTCCCAATTGCAGTGCGAGATGATCGCTCTTGTAGCGCATCGGATATACTTGAACTTCTCCCGGTTTCCGAAATAAGTCGGTCTTGGATTTGCCGCCGCAGTATACCGCAACTCCCAAGTAGACGGCGTCCATTCGACTCTTGATATGTGTTCGCCTGTGGCTCTCCGGACTTCCCCCTTTGTGGGTGAATTTGTTTGCGCGGTCGTATCCCAATTTATTTCCGAACCGAACCCCTGTCCCGCTGTCACGAGAGATTCCAGCATGAATTGAAAATTGCCTCGGTGTTGGGAAGCCAATAGGGTACCGTCTACGTCGAGTGTCCTGAGTGACGACGCAGCCCGGCTTAGCTTGCAGAGGCAATCTGGCCAACGCGTCGTGCAGCATAACAGTTCGAACGGCGATAAAAAGAAACATGGGCTCAGCGGGCGCATTTGAGCTATCCTTGCCGCTTGCTTCCTCTCGAATGATTTCCCACAGTGGTATACAATAGTGAAATACCGGTGGGCGTATATACTCTGTATAATGCTTGGCGTGTGGTCAAGATTCCCAGATCTCTCGAGCGCAATGCACACGCACTCAGGCTTAGGACGGGCAGGTGCTTTTGCCCAGCCAAACAATATTAACAGTAGCCCCCTTTCCAATGTACAGATGTGGTGCGTCCACCATCCGCCGCAACAACATCAACGCATCAACTGTGCCACGCTTCGGCCGGAAGCTGAACTGGGACTCCCACGCTTTTGTTCCACCGCTTCCATGGATAAAGCCGTCGGTGGATCATTGCCGCCAGCCCCTTGTATACCACGGCTACGAGGAAGATCGGCCTGTAGTTGCTTGGCACATGAGCATCGCCTTTCCCGAACAACAAAAGGACGTTGGCGCGCCTCCATGTTGCAGAAATGTCTTTAACACCCAACAGGGCGGGCACACGTGCAGAAAAGGATCCGCATGCTGCTTGGTCTTCAACGAGAACCTTCCCAAACTCTTGCGGGACATCGTCTGGCCTGAGGCCGTCGTTGTTGTTAGTGTGTTGTATGCTTCCTCACCTTTATGACTTGAAGCTCTAAGATCCCCAGGCGGAACGTATCAGTGTTACTTGGAAGTGTACTTCCACGCGTCTGTGCGTTTGTTGGTGTCAGATCTGAGAATTGCACTCGCCGTTACACTTTTCACAATAATTCGCCAAAACATCTGGCTGGGCGGCCGTGTCGGTCAAATTCCCATCCGTCTGTTTCACGCCAGCGTGCTTGCGAGGGGCATGTTTGCGAAATTGTCCCATTGCGCCCGATCCCCACCAACCAAGGAATGATCCAGCCAATTGGCGCGATCCTTCTGAGCAGCTCGTCGCACCATCCTGTTGTAGCTAATTCTTCTCAGCTCTGTTGTCCCGGGTGCGATCGCAGTTCCGCTGTTCAATGAATTCCATTGTGTCTGAAGATGTCCAACGTCGTCGGGCTGGGATGGGGCGCGCCGGCAGCTGCTTTGATATTTCCTTGATTGACGCCTCTGGTCTCCGGGTGGTTCCGTCGAGCGAGTCCGACGAACACCTTGACGTAGCCGAATGCTGCTTAAATGCGTATGTGGGCACTTTCTTTGCACTCGGGGACGATCAAGCGGAGACGTCAACCATCGCGTTACGTGTTGCACCACCTCCCTGCGGGAAGCAGCAAGATACCACTACAATCTTCAAGATATGGTGGCTGTTCAGCGCGTCCTGCCTGATGGTCCTGCAATCCCTCACCGATGGAAGAGCATACTGGTGCACGCGATGGGCTCCTCGACGGGGACGGCGAAGGAAGCGTTTGCAGTCGTCGAGCCATGAGCAGCACAACGCTCTAGTAATATCTATGCCGTGATGTTACGATGACCGGATGGTCTCTAGGTGTTGCTTGGAACCCGCGTTTCCTGAGATAACCTGCTTCGCTGGCTCTCTGGCGAAGTAGCTTCGCATTGAACCCCCCCTTCGCCAGTGGCGCTGCGGGGCGTGGTTGGCTTGATCATGTTCTGGAGGTCGTCGTGCAAATCCTGCCTGTCGTTCCGCTCGCACCCGCTGTGGGAGGACGCGGACACGAGGGCAAGCATACCTCCCATGCTTCTGATTCGAAGCGGCGCTAGTCTAGGGCTGTACGCTTTGAAGGCAGACCCATGTGGCCACAATGACACCAACGCCTTCTACTGGTTGCTTGCTTTCCACGCCCCCCCAGGATAGACAGATCGAGATCACCCATCGTGTTTGTAGCACGTGCCATGCATCTGTGTTTGGGAATCGTAATGTCTATATGTCTTGATTGCATGGCTTGATATGGCTCCACAAATAGGGAGCCCACAAAGGACGTACGCGCCCAGCTATGTACATGAACACGGCCCCTCGATCCGCGAGACCGGCCGCGGTATACGAACATTTGCGCAATGCGTACTCTCGAAACCAGCGTGGATTCATGTACGTTTACGTCCTTTTGTCGCTCCTGAACAAAATTGATCACACAACTTCCCCCGAGACTCGAGACCTTCCACATTCCACACGCCCAACCGTTGACTTACCAGAGGCTGGCTTGCCAGAGGCTATCTCCGGCCCCGGCGAGCCTCGGCGACGGCCGGGAAGCGCTCGGGACGCTGACGCTCGGGGACCGGGGACTGGTCGCGCGTCGCGCCGAGGCGTGCTGGGCCAGAGCTGGCAGCATGACACACTAAGCCAAAATTCCCGCCCGTGCTTCGTCCTCGGACGTCGCGCCCCCCCGCCCCCGCCCCCAACACCACCCCTGGCCCTCAGACCTGGGTGTCGCAAGCAAGAGGCCGACGGCCGTTATTTCTACGTTCTCAGCTTCCAGAGGCCGCCTCCCGGCCCCAGGACATGCCACAAGCGGTCCTGGGTGACCAACAGGCCCGCGGGATGAGACACAGGCCGCGTGACACGCTGAGCAAAAACTCCTGACCGTAGTTCGAAGGAACGGACCATAGGAGACGAGAACCCCTCCGACAAGGAGACCATATGAGACCGTAGTCCATAGGAGACCGTAGTCCGAAGGACGGACACCCGAAATTGGTACGGACAAAATTGGTACAATGCCCAACAACAGATGTTGTCCCAAACCGGCAGCGGCCGCTGTTGGGCAGGCAGCCGTCTCAAACGGACACAGGCCGCGGCGGCGCGGACAGCGAGCCCTGTTCAAAACGAGCAGAAACTGCTGTTGGGCATTGTACCCATTCTTTCCGTACTCTGAGTCTCTCAATAAGCGTCGGGGGGTACCCCCCCGACGGGGGTCAGCCTCGCCTCGCCGCCGCGCCGCGACGGGGGCCGCGAGGAGGAGCAGGAGCAGGAGGAGGAGGAGGAGGAGGAGGAGGAGGAGGAGGAGGAGGAGGGGGAGGAGGAGGAGGAGGAGCAGGAGCAGGAGGAGGAGGGAGGGAGGAGGAGGAGGACCCCACCTCGCTCGTGCCGGCGCCGGAGCCCCGGCGTGGTCCTAAGCCTCGGCGTCCCGACCGCTCCCTGCGTGGGCGGCCCCCTGGGTCTGCGGACCGCGGCCGCTGCGCCAGCAGCGCGGGGCGCGGGGCGCGCGCCACTGCAGCATGCGAGCGTCGTCGTCGTCGTCGTCGTCGCCGTCGCCGTCGTCGTCGTCGTCGCCGTCGTCGTCGTCGTCGTCGTCGTCGTCGTCGTCGTCGCCGTCGCCGTCGTCGTCGTCGTCGCCGTCGTCGTCGTCGTCGTCGTCGTCGTCGTCGTCGTCGTCGTCGTCGTCGTCGTCGTCGTCGTCTTCGTCGTCCTCCTCCAGCTCCTCCTCCTCCTCCTCCTCCTCCTCCTCCTCCTCCTCCTCCTCCTGTGCCTCAGCGTCTTGACTGTGCCAACGCCCAGCAACCTCGGTCCCAACGAGCACCCCTGGGGCGGGCGGGTTCCTCGCTCGCCTCGGCGTCCAGGTGCTTCAGGCTCCGCACCTCGGTCTGCGCGCACATCACTCTCCCCCCCCCCTTACCCACCCTGGGTCAATGCCAGGGGTGCCACCACCTGGGCGGGCGCCACTCCCTTGAGGACGCGCCACGTCTTCGACGGAGCCCGCAGAACACTCCCCACAGCCGTCCACAAGGACGCCAAGCGTACGAACAAAAACCTGGCGAAGGACCCATACATGTGCGGTTGTGCGCGCGGTAACTGTGACCCTCGTCTTCGGTGGAGCACCCTATGAGGCCACGAAGGGTGCGCCGGAATTGTATGGAGAAGGCATGCGGGCCCTGGCACTGGGGCCTCAGGTGGAGCTCCCTCTGGGGCCACGAAACGTGCGAGGGGTGCGCCAGAATGTTGTGGATAAGGCGCGCGGGCCCTGGGACTTGGGAGCTCACTCTGGAGCCACGAAACGTGTGAGGGGTGTGCTGGAATGTTGTGGACAAGGCCTGCGGGCCCTAGCACTGTGGCCTTGGGTGGAGCTCCCTCTGAGGTCACGGAGCGTGTGAGGGATGTACCGAAAATGTGGATGAGGCACGCGGGCCCTCGCACTGGGGCCGTATGAGGAGCTTTCCCTGGGGCCGTGAACCGTGTGAGGGGTGCGCTGGAATGGTGTGGAGAAGGCTTGCGGGCCCTGCGGGGCCTTAGGTGGAACTCCTGCTGGGGCCACGAAGCGTGTGAAGGGTGCGTCAGAATTTTGTGGAGAAGGCATGCGGGCCTTGCCACTCTGGCATCGGGTGGAGCTCCCTCTGAGGCGACGAAGCGTGTGCAGGATGCGCCGGAAATGTAGATGAAGCACGCGGGCACTGGCACTGGGGCCGTAGGAGGAGCTCCCCAGGGGCGATGAAACATGTGAGGGGTGCCCCGGAATGGTGTGGAGAAGGCTCGCGGGCCCTGCGGGGCCTTAGGTGGAGCTCCCGCTGGGGCCACGAAGCGCTGGAGGATGCGCCAGAACTGTATGGAGAAGGCATGCGGGCCCTGCCACTGGCCTTAGGTGGAGCTCCCTCTGAGGCCACGAAACGTGTCAGGGGTGCGCCGAAAATGTGGATGAGGCACGCGGGCCTTGGCACTGAGGCCTTTGTCGGAGTTCTCTATGGGGCCGTGAAAGGTGTGAGTGGTTCGCCAGACTGATGTGGTTAAACCCGCGGGCCCTGCCACTTGGGCATTCGGTCGAGCTCCCGCTGAAGCCATGAAGCGTGTGAGGGACGCGGCGCACATTTGGAGAAGGCTTGGGGCCCCTTCTGGGGCCACGAAGCGTAGGTGGAGCTCCCGCTGGGGCCACGAAACATGTGACGGGTGCGCCGGAATGATGTGGAGGAGGCCTGCGGGCTCTGGCGCTGGAGCTGGGGTGTGCACCGCCATGTTGTGGATAAGGTATGCGGGCCCTGGCAGTGGTCCTTGGATGGAATTTCCTCTTGGGCCACGCGCTGGAATAGGTGGTGGTAATCGTGAGGAAGATGGTGACAGTGATGGTGATGGATGGGAATGTGGGGATTCGTTCGGAAATCAATACAACTGTGAAGATGACGAGGGTGATGAGGATGATGGTGTTGACGGCGCTTTTCATTATGTGCCATCGGGCCTTGGCTGCTGTCTTAGATGCTGTTGTGGCTGCCGGAGCGCAACGGGCTGCGCTGCACCGCTCCAGCTGGCCTTCAGCATACGCCAGAAACCAAAGAGACCACGCTCTTCGAGCCCGTTCTAAGATCCCGGACGCATCAATCTCTGAGAGGCGGCGTGCGGTCGACCACATCGAAAAACGTCCAGCAGCTGTAGCAGGGTGCTGGGGCCATACCCCAAGGCGCGTCTACCCCGCGGCTGGCCACGTCGAATAACTCGCGAGTGACGGCCAGCTGGAAACTCTGGAAGGTCTCGCCTCGCATGCACAAGATCACGCAACCTCTCAATTGAAGTGAGCATGTTCCAGCGGCCACAGCACCGCTCGATCCCCATAGACAGAAGAAGGGCCTCGATGCGTTTGCGGAAGTTTCTAGACACGCGAGGCACATTGGAAGTGGGCTGCGGGCGACGAGATGAAAGAGTAGGGGTGCTGAAAGCGGGCGCGACAGACAGCATCATTTGGTCACTAGCTTGCTCAGATACCCCTGAAGCCCCCACCCGAGAACGCCAGTGGGCGATTTGCCGTGCTTCCCCCGCATCCCGACCTGCGCGCCCGCTGCGATCACCTTCGTGCGTCACTCCTCGTTGCGGATCACAGAAGTGATCCTCTTCTGGTCAGTGTCGTAAGTCTTGTCCACGCGGCGCATCCGCATGACTTCCACCTCGTCTTCCGCGCTGTGCCCCTCCAGCCACTGAGATCAGCTGGGTGCTCTTCGCGTTCTGGATGCCCGCTGCGCCCCGCCCCCGCGCCCCTTCAGCGCTTCGGTCAAACCCGCGAGCGCCCAAATGTATGTGCGCTGTGTGAATGGCCGTTCCCGCCCGCCTTCGCCGCCAATGATAGTTGCGGTCTCTGCCCCATCACCTTCGCGATCTCTGGCGCCGACAACTTCGACCAAAACGCGTCGAAGAGGCGCCCTCCGAGTTCTCGAGCCTGCTGGGCGCGCCCCAGGAGCTGCTTCGCCACGAGCTGCTTCCGTTTTTGGCTTGCTGTGGTATACGTCTTCCAAGTTCCCGCCCACCATCTCGCGCTCCTCTGCCTCTTGCAGCCGACGGCAAATGTTGCGGGCGCGGCGACGTCGAACCCCCGCGGCGCGCGGGGCTGGTTGCGGCGATTCGAGCTCGAACCCACGCGCCGCGCGGGCAAGTGACGATGGCGCCTGCAACTCCCGCGCCCGCCTCCCTCCGACTGGTTTGCGGCGCCCGAGCGCCCGCGACGCCCGCGCGCGCTGCCGCGCGCCATCGCGCGAAGAAGCAAGACCGGGGCACTTGGCGCTTTGAATGGCGCTCGCGCAGCAGCCCGGCGAACGCCAAAAACCGCCGCGAGACCCACTGCTGGTCGCCGTCGCGTGCTTCGCGAGCCTCTCGGGTCGAAGCGCAAGCCGCGCCCCGCGCCCATGGAGCCCGTCAGTTCGCACCCGAAATCGCTCTGCCCACCCTCCATCCCCACTGGCTCCGCCTCCATCTCAGCCCAGAACATCCCTTTCATCATGAATGGCGCATCGATGAATCTCGCGTCCATCTTGGCAGATGCACCCCGCAATGTTATCGTGTGCCCAATGCGCCTGTCGCGCGCGCCCCACCCTGGCCGGGGCCCCCGAGCGGCAGGAGGCCCCTCGCGAGCTGCCTCGCGAAGGGGCCCGCAGACGCCGTGAATTCCCTGTCCTCGTCGATCGGCGCTGGCGCGCCCTCCATAAGAACCCCCCCGCAGCCAAGCGATCGCCCGCCGATGTACGAGCGCGAGCTTCGCCGTGTCCTGCAGCCAACGAGCTCGCAGCATCGCGAGAGCCGTGCGAGAAGGCGCCGCCGCCCAGCGCTGCGCGAGCTCCTTGTTGACGAGCATCTTCGCGTGCTCTTCGTTCCCCACCAGCGCCCCTCCTCTCGGAGATGCGGGGCTTCTTGCAAGTCGGGGCGCCCAGACGATGAAGCGCCGCCGCCGTGAGTGCGCAATTGCGCATGCCGGACGCAGCCGCGACCGCGACCTTGCCAAAGAACAGCTGCCCGCGGATTTTCCTCGGCGCATTCGTGAACGAGAACCTCCCCATGTCCAGCCATCCCAGTTTCAGCGCGTCGATCGCTGCCGGCCCCCCCTGCTGCTGGCTTGTCGTTCTAAATGAATCGCCCGCCAAGGTGCCGAGCGCGCGGTGGCGCCCTGCCTCCACCCGCTGGCGCCAACTCCGTGAACTTGCGTTCCTTCTGTGGCCCTAGTTAGCTCCGAGACGAACTTGCGCCTGTCCACGTTCTGCTCGACGCCGCCTGTGGAGAGCTCGCGCGCGAGGACGGCCTGGCTCGCGTTGATGATCTCGCGCGCCTGCTCCGCGGTGACCGACAGCATTATCTGCCGCTTGCGTAATAGCACAGCTCACAGGTAGCTCAAGATTCGGCGCCTTGAACCTCAGCATGCGGATCCTGTCCTGCTCGGGACTCCCATCGCGCTACCGATGCGCAGGTCCCTTGAACTTCTTCGACGCCTCGCACGTGCCCATGACGTGCCCGCGGCTCATGGCGAAGTGCATGGCTTCGCCGTGAGCCTCCATCTCCACGGCGAAGTGATGGATCCGATCCTGCAATAGATCCCAGCCAACTGGCCCAGCAAAGTCCTACCGCCTTTCCAACCACTCGACTGGTGTGCAACCGAGTGCGTTGGACATTTCCATAGGTTCGGACACGCTGCGTAGGCCCTGCTGGCCTGTTGGGTGGCTCGCGCATCACGCCACTAGGGTGGCATCCTCTCTCCTCCTGTGCGACAGGCGTCCTTGGTAAGGGGGGGCCGAAGTGCATCTCGAATGCACGACAATCAAGCTCTTCCATAATAATCTCCACAAACAACTTCCAGAATGTGCAAGCGAGATGATTGATGCGCTTGGCCTCGAAACCCGTCAGGGGAAGCCAAAGGACCAGTGTGTCGCAGCTGGTGCCCTCTACGCCTTTCTCGTGCGCAGTAGCATCTCGAGCACCCCCTCGCGACAACTTCGGCATCTGCTCGCCGTCGCGTCCAATGGTTCATATCCAGGTCCTCGTGGTGGACGCCGTGGGGTCGAGCAATACCCTGGCTCAGTGCAGCATGGCAACAACTCCACTGGTGCACTCCACCGAACACACCCACGACGTTCGCAACTGTCGGATGGACCATGCCATTTGTCTAAGATCGCGTAGGGCCCGTCCGGTGAGATAGTCGTTTCTTTCTGGTTAGGGGCGTGGACAAGTCGCTTCGCCGACCCTCAAATTTTTCTCGGTCAACTCGTGCTGCCGACATGCCTCCGTCAACGCTCGCCTTGGCCATGTGCTCTGTCACAGCACATGCCCACGGTCGTGGTTCAGGAGTCGTGGAACACGGGCGTCGACGCGCAACCTGAGCCCGTCAACAAGCAGATGAGAAATCTGATGTTGTTCAAATCTATTTCCTTCCGCCCAGCCTCCTCCAAGTCCGCCTCACGCGACATGCGACGTTCAGCGCGACCACGACTGGCCCACCTCCAGAGTTGCTGCGTGAGCCCCTTGATCTCACCAACCTGCCAAACTTACTCTCTGCCTCCCTGTTCCCGCGTTCCCAGCTCAGCCACCCTTTCCCCGTCCTTCGCGCGCGAGGCAACTATGCGGCTCTTCTCGACCCGCAATCTCGCCTCAGCAGTGTTGCTTCTATCAGGGGGATGTCCTTAAACAGCACCAGTCTACTTGTCTGATTGTCTGCATCAAATTCACCGTCAGGCGCATGATTATGATGATGATGACGATGAGGATGATGATGCTGATGATGATGAGGCGCTTGTTCTCGCGCTCTCCCGCGCGTCCGCCCAGCGACCCTGGATAAACCCTGGAGCACGCTCCATCGGAGAAGGCGGCGTCCCGTGCCAGCCCAGACCACCAGTTGCTCTTTGCTCTTCATTTCCAATGCTCCTTCTGCCCCTGCTTCTGTTCGCTGTCGTCCTCCTCCTCACGCGTTATCCTCCTACCTCCTCCTCCTGTCCTCTCCGCCTCCTCGCCTCCTTACTGCGCCTTCTCCTTCCTCCTCTCCTCCCTGGCGTTCCCCCTCCGAATCATCTAGGCGCCCCTCCAGGGACTCCACTTCCCGGTCCAGCAGGGAGATCCTGGACATCACAGCCGCGGCCCTCTCCTCGGCCGACCCGAGCAGGACCTGCCGTCGCTGCGGGGCGCCGGCAAGACAAGCGAGCCGATCGACCCCCCCATTCTCTGCCTGCCACATCCTCTTCCATCGCCGTTCCGATCTCGAAGCCCTCTCCTCCCTGTTGTGTGTTTTCTTTCTTCCTTTTTTTTTCTTCTCTCTCTCTCTCTCTGTCCCCCCCCCTCTCTCTCTCTCTCCTCTCTCTCTTTCTGTCTTTCTATATGTCCCCCTGCACATGTACAGATCTCGTTGACTCTCTTTCCCTGTCTTTCTTTCTGTCTTTCTCTCTCCCTCTCGCTCTCACACTCTCTTCTTTTATATGTAGCCTACACAGGTACAGCTCTCTCTCTTTCTCTCTCTCTCTCTCTCTCTCTTCCCCAGTCTGTTCGAACTCCCGCCCCTTTCCTCTGTAGCAATATCCCCGCCCCTGTTTCCCCATGTCCTATCCCTCCAATTATATCCCTTCTGTCTCGTCTTATATCCCGTCTCCCTTCCCGCGCATCCTGCTTCTGCTTTCGATGACACGCGTGACTCAGGCACAGGGCAGAGGAGGGGTAAACTGGACCGACTGGAGAGACAAGAGGACGTGCCGACGGATGCGCCAGAGGACGACACGTGCCAGGGGGCATGCCCGCGGCTGTGCAAAAAGGGTGCGCCAGGGGGTGTGCCAGTTTGAATTTGCAGAAGTCCATGCGCAGGGACCTCCGAACGCACGCGTTCACTCACGACTCTGGGAGGTAGGCTTTCGCTGACCCAAAATATCCAGCGAATTTTGAGAGGGGCGTCTTCCGCAAGCGCAGATTCACGCAAGATTCTGTGCGCGCGGGGGCGGGCCGTCCTCGCGCGTCCCGCTGGGGCCTCCTGGAGCGTCCCGGGGCCTCTGGGGGGCCTTCCTCGTGCGTTCTGGGGCCTCCTGGGCCGTCCCGGGGCCTCGGGGGGGACCCTTTGGGGGCCACCCGGGGCGTCCGCGTGCCTCCTGGGGCGCTCGCGTTGCTACCTCCGCGCAGGGGGCGCGCCGTCCTCGCGCGCCTGGCGCGGGACCCCAGTGCTCCCAGCTCTCTGCCACAAGCTTATATACAAATGTGCCCCGGGGCACACCAATCAACAGGCACAAGTCCCAGGAGTCCCCATGGTTTCTCTTTTCATATGTTCAAGGTTTTCGTCCCCGCCCCCCATATTTCCCCATGTGTTCCCATCTGTTCCTGGGGGTCGACGATGACTTGCGTCTGTGGGTTTCTCCCCCCCCCCCCCAGCAGCCGCCCCGCTGCTGCTGGTCCCCGCCCCGCGCGCCCCCCCCGCCGCCGCCGGGCCCCGCTCCGAGCGGGCCCCGCTTCCTTTTCCCTCCTGCCCACGCCGGGCGTCCCTCCTCCCTCCCCGTGCACTGCGGCCTGGCTCGCAGACGTACACCCTACGAGTGCTCTTCCGCCAGCACTCTGCCTAGCCGCCGGCGTAAAAAGGTGTGTTGCTCCCCCGCCCTGCTTGTGGACCTGCCCGCGTGCCTGTAAACGACTGGCCAGGCTGTGCTGCGGCCGCGCGCTGGCGTGGGCGAGGGCGCGGCGGCCGCGCGAGGGAGGCGGACCTCGCTTCCTCGGGGGGGTGAGCGAGGTGGCGATTTTGGACGAACGAATTAAACTTACTCCGACGAAAATCCTTTCGGCTGATCTGGAAATAACCTGCACTGTCGTCCTCGCGATTAGCGAGGCGCCTTTATTGTCTTCTCTGCGTCATTCTCACGCTCGCCCTGGCGCAGGGCCCTCGCCCGTTCCCCACGTTGCCCTTGCCTTGCCCTCCTGCTGTTTGTTTTTGCTTACCCACCACCTCCTCTCCTGTCTATTGCAAGAGCGCGCGCGCGTCGATTTTCCTCGACGCCGTCGCCGTCTCGGCCAACGCGGGCGCATTTTCGAATGGCCGCGTCGCGCGGCCGTTGGAACAACCCGGCGGGCCAGGCCGTTGGGGCAACCGCGCGAACCGCTGGGGCGCGGGAGTACGCCGTTGGGACAAAACCGCAGGCACCGAGCTAGTCACGGCCCCTGCCCCCGATTCGGCCGACGATGGGTTACCACCCCCGGCCCGGACGCAAAGGTTCCCCCCCTGCGCCCGATTCGGCCGAAGATGGGTTACAACCGCCAGCCCGGAGACAAGGGCCCCCCCATGCCCCCGATTCGGCTGACGATGGGTTACCACCGCCAGCCCGGAGACAATGGTTTCCCCTTGCCCCCGCTTCGACCGAATATGGGCTACCCCCCCTGGCCCACACACAAGGGTTCCCCACTGCGCCCGGCCGCCGTCGTCGTCCACACCTCCTGTTCCTCCTGTTCCTCCTCACCTGATGGGTCGGGCGAATCGCCCTCTGAAGAGCGCGTAAGGAGGGGCTCCCGCCTGATACTTCCCCATATTCAAGCCTCAGGAACCCAAAAACGACGACAGTTACAAGTTCGAGGATGACCCGCTCGGAATTCAAACGTGAGTTGCGGGCCCCATGGGGAGGGGGCTCCCGCCTGCGACTTTTCAAAACCATGAAATGCGGGCCCCATGGCGAGGGGGCTCCCGCCTGAGACTTCCTTACAGTTCACTCACAGACAAGGAACACCGCCTGATACTTCACCCATAGTCAAGCCTCAGGACCCCAAAAATGACAATCACACGGATGAGGGTGAGCCGCTCGGATTAAGCACATGAAGCGCGGGCCCTATAGGGAGGGGCTCCCGCCTGAGACTTCCTCACAGTTCACTCACGAACGCGACGACCATTACAGGTTTGGGATGACCCGCTCGGATTACCAACGTGAAGTGCGGGCCATATGGAAGGGGCTCCCGCTGGAGACTTCCTCACAATTCACTCACAAACGAGGTTCCCGCCTGATACTTCCTCCGAATTCAAGCCTCGGTCGCCCAAAAATGACGACAGTTATAAGGATGAGGATGACCCGCTCGGATTACCAACGTGGGGCGCGGGCCCCATAGGGAAAGGGCTCCTGCCTGAGACTTCTTTGCCATTCACTCACAGAGGGGGTTCCTGCTTGAGACTCCCTCTGAAGTCAGGCCTCAAAGACCCAAACGCGACGACAGTTACAAGGTTCCGATGACCCGGTCGGATTGCTAACATGAAATGCGAACCCCATAGGGAGGGGTTCCCGTCGGAGACTTCCTTACAATTTACTCACAGACGACGCTCCCGCTCGAGACGTCCTCCACATTCAGGCTAGGGGGTGGGTGGTGACGAAGTGATGAGTGAGCGAGTGATGATGATGATGCTGGATGGTGATCGTGACGACGATGATGATGGTGATGGTGGTGATGCTGCTGCTGATGATGATGATGAGTGGTCGAGTGATAGTGATGGTGATAAATGGTGATGGTGCTGATGAGGAGGATGATGTGGTGGTGGTGTGGTCCTGCGCGGGGTGTCCAGAGAAAATGATGCTGAGTGGTGAGAGAGAAAGAGAGAGAGAGAGAGAGAGAGAAAAAACAAACAAATGGTGTGTGTGCGAGTTTTTGCGATGTGCGACTGAGTATGATGATGCTGGCGGAGGTGGTGATTCTGATGATGATGATCGATGGCCGATGGTGATGGTAATCGATGGTGAATGACTGAATATGATGATGATGATGATGGTGGTGGTGGTGATGATGATGACCGATGGTGATGATGACCGATGACGGGGTGAACGCGTGAGTGGGGCGGAGAGTGGGAGGGAGGTGGGGTTCCTGCGCGGAGGGTGCCCAGAGAAAATAAGAGCCCCACTCTGGATGTGGGGGGGATGCGCCAAAACATATTCAAACATGCTTCAACATACCAGAAAAAATCGTCCTCAGATCCTTTCTTGACAATTTTTGAATATTCCTCCTGTAGAGGGACACGCCCGACTTAAGGCGAGCCCCCGACCTCCTCGCGGTGGGGGAGGGCCTCGCGGCGCAGGGCCTCTGGGGCCACCGTCGGCCTCTGGGACCCCGGGAGCCCGCGCCGGGACCGAGGGCCGCCACACAAAGGAGGCCATCTACTCCGACCAGCCACAACTGGGGGAGCTGTGGTCCTTACCCCCCTGGGGGGGCCCATCGCATCGACGATCTCTCGAGGGGGGTGTCGAAATCGAAGGGTCCCCCAGGGGGGTAAGGACCACAGCTCCCCCGAATGTGGTTGGCCTGCTACTTGAGCAGGGGCCGACCGTTCCGGCATTCCTAAGGCCTACCACGACATCTTCTGAATTAAAACCCAAC